TAGAGACAGAAAGCGAGAAATCACCCCCCAGGGGGGATGGTCACGCTGCAATCCCTTCTCCTCCATTCTCCTCTCGGGATCTTGGGCGCTCACGCACACACGCCCGGCGTGAGTTTAAGCCACTGACCGGGATTCGAACCGCAGTCGACTACGTGGGAGTCCAGCAACATAGCCATTATGCTAGCTGCTGGTCCCCTGTCTCCTGTTTCTTAAAAGAATAGAGTCCAGAGGTTTCCAGGGGAAAGTCAACAGTTCTTTTTATTTTTTTTGAGAGAGGTTTTTGCTATAGGGCACATGCTCTCGCCAGACAGACAGAGAGAGACAGAGAGACAGAAAGCGAGAAATCACCCCCCGGGGGGATGGACACACTGCAATCCCTTCTCCATTCTCCTCTCGGGATCTTGGGCACACACGCACACGCGCCCGGCGTGAGTTTTAAGCCACCAGGTCCGAGACACGAACCGTGGTTGACTACATGCGAGTCCAGCGACATAGCCATTATGCCAACTGCTGGTCCTGAAAGTCAATAGTTCTTAAAGGAATATGAATTAAGAGGGCAAGGCTTGGGTCTGTAATTTCTATCTATCCATTTATTTAATTTATTTTTATCAGAGAGGGACAGAGTGAGAAAGAGGGAAAGTGAGAAGGCAAGCTGCCAGGGGTAGGACTCAAACCACAGTTGGCCATGTGGGAGTCCAGTGGCCCTAACCACTATGCCACCTGCTGGCTCCTAAGTCTCTAATTTCTAAAAATCTTAAAACTTTCTTGTCCCTTAATGTCTCAATATTACAAGAGTCTATAGAGCTGTTGGCTGAATTCTTGCCCCACCAAGCAATGGGGAGCCACTGAAGAGTTCTCAGCAGGGGAGAGTTGGGATGAACACGGTATTTTCAGAGGCCTTTGACGATGGCCATGCTGTGACCAGACCAGAGGGCAGGCTGGAGTAGGTCCCAGGAGGCAGGGGGCTTCCCCACACTTGGGGGCACACTTCTGCTTCTCCAGAGTGATCAGATTTTGTCTTGTCCACTGTATACGGCAGTGACTGTGAGAGGGTCCCACAGCACCTTACAGTGTGGGACGTGAGGCTGAATATCATCTCTACAGCAGCAGCTGCTGAAATGTCTTCATTTCTGTGCCTTTCCAAATAGCCCAATGCCCTTCACTGGGTCTCCTCATTCAAAAAAAAAAAAAAAAATTATTTTTTTGGAAGAGATTTTGGCTTTGGGGCATGTGCACTCACTGGAGAGAGTAAGCAATAGAGACAATGGAGCTGGAAAATGAGAAATCACTCCCCAGGGGGATGGCCAAGTTGCAATCCCTTTTCCATTTTCCTCCTGGGATCTTGGGCAAACATGCAAATGCACCCAGCGTGATTTTCAAGCCACCATGTCTAGGACTCAAACCTCTGTCCAACGACGTAACTGCTATGCCACCTGCTGGCCCCTCCCCATGAAAAATTTTTAGAAAGTAATTGATGTAAAAATATGTAGCATACATTAATTGGCAATAAAAATAAAGAGGTGACGTGAGTCTGGCAAGCCCAGTTATACAGCTGTCCTGGAGACTTCCCTCAGGACCGGTAGTCATTGCCAAGAGGACATTTGTGGAAAAAGTCAAGCAGTCGAACCAAAGCCTCAGTGGACCAAAAGAAAAATCAGAGCAAGTTATCCTTAAATGTGGTGCTGGGAGATGCTGTCACTCATATAGTCGGTTGTGACAGTCTTCAGGAGTGCTCCCCAGTGGACAAGGCGAGGAGCTTACCTACCCCCCATTCTGCAGGCACAATGTGTCCTGCTCCCCACTGCTCCAGGGCTGAATGGAGCACGTGTTCCCATCCCAGGGCTGGGTCTGAGTAGGTGTTGACAGGTCACCTGGCTGACCTCAGAGGTCAGATGCATAAGTTCTCAGTGATGCCTGTGCTGGTTTGAGGCTCAAGCCCTGTTGACCCCTACCTGCCATCTCCATCAACCACCTGGGTCTCACCTTACGGTACGCTGGGCGGAAGCTGTGTGCCAGCCTGCGCAGGCTACCCAGGTCCCGCTGGAAGCCAGCCAGCTCAGCACCCGATGCATGGTAGGTCTCACCCAGGGCCTGGCTGGCACCTGCCTGCTTTTGCCAGAGTGCTGTGCGCAGGGACAGCAGCAGGTCACAGGTGAGCAGCTGGACCACCTGTGGGGGGAGTTGAGAGGGAAGAGACAGGTGACTGGCCTATTCCGGAGGCAGAGATCCCAACACCTACCAGGTCCTTCCCAGCTCAACTCCCAGCAGTTCTGGGAGAGTATAGAGCCCCAGAGTCTGGAACACTCCACAGAAGTGAGGGTAGCTGATCTAGTCCTTTCCACAGCCCCAGGAGCTGGAGACTTGTTCTCGTTCTGCAGGTGAGAAAGCCAAGGCTCAGTGTGCCAGCAGCAGGGGCAGGAATAACACCCCATGTGTCTGAAGACACAGGCTTCCCTACCCCATGGGAGTCCTTTCACCCACTGTGGCTGGCCTTGAGCCTGAGATACTCAGAAGGTGCCAAGGCCTTCCTCCTCGAGAGGAAGCATGTCCTGCGGCAATGGAGGAGGTGTCTGGGAAGACAGACAGTAAGTGGGCTAACGCTAAGCTGCTAGACAGACTGGCCTGTATTCAACGCTGGTTTTGCCACACACTTGCCTCATGATGCTGGCACCTAACTTCACCTCCCCACACCTAAGCCCTTACCACCAAATGGGAATGAACACAGGACTACCGGGAACATCGTGTAAGAAAGTACTGTGTGGGGGCTGCACAAACGTGCTCTCCACCAGCTCCAACAGCCCCTCAGCAGCATGGGGAGGAGGGAGGACACCGCGCATCCTTTCCAAGATGCACCACAGAAGCCCTCAGGTTCAGAATGACCCCTGGGCCATTCTTCGTCTCACTCAGCCCTGGCTTTCTTTTCCTCCTCTCCAAGGCTCTCAGCCCGGGAGGTCCCTATGCTGCCCAAGACCCCACCTGGCACCTGTGCAGGTCCTGACCCTTGGCACACTGTTTACCCTCAAGAACTGAGCCTCAGTGGTCCATATAACAATCCCCCACTCAGCAAAAACTGGCATTTCTCAATATGAACATGGGAGGGATCCCTCTGGGCATGCGTGCAGCAGGCCTGGGCTGGCTACTGTACTGAAGACTGCAGTTTCCACGGGCTTTCCTTCTTCTAGGCTCCTGCTCGCCCACAGAGCTGTTCCCAGGAATCCAAGCCCTTGAGGGGAGAGGGGGTTGCAAGCCTCTTATTCCCCAAACATGGGACGAGAATGTGTGGCTCTCTCATGAAGCCCAATACTGAGGGAGGCCAACTAAAAGTCCAGCAGAGAAACGGAGCCATGGCTGCCCATCCTGCTTTTGCGTTTGGTGCCTGTTCTGCCTTCTGCCTGTCCCTGTAGGGCCCAGATCCACTGATAGCCTTTAGCTTAATGTACTGTTCAGCCACCTGGGACCAAACCCCAGGGCATGGCTCAGACCTGACCTTCCAGGACTTTTTTTTTTTTTTGGAGAGATTTTTGCTATAGGGTGCGTGCGCTCGTCAGACAGACAGAGACAGAGAGACAGAAAGCGAGAAATCACCCCCCAGGGGGGATGGCCACGCCGCAATCCCTTCTCCTTCATTCTCCTCTCGGGATCTTGGGCATGCACGCACACGCGCCCGGCGTGAGTTTTAAGCCACTGGGTCCGGGATGCGAACCACGGTCGACTATGTGGGAGTCCAGCGACATAGCCATTACGCTAACTGCTGGTTCCCGCCTTCCAGGATTCTTTTCCTCACTCCTCCCTTGCTGGAGGCATCTCTTATAGCTGCAGGTGTTCCTCCCCTCCTCTTGCTTCTCCCCTCCTGTTCCTCAGGATCCCCTCTCGCAGTGATGGGACCCTGACTCCAGGTATGTGGGCAGTCTCTCGAGGGCGGGCAGACCTCTGTGATGCACTGTGGAAACATTGCATGGTACTGTCAGGACATGCAATGCAACTACAATGCACTGCAGCGGCCCACCAGGAGACATGCGGTGTGGCCAGTGGCTCAGGGTATGTAAGCCTCAGGGGTACAAGGACTGCTCAAAGACCTGCAAGTCCTGGGGAGTCACGCAGGCTGCCTGGAGCCCTGGCCAGAAGCATCTGGGATTCAGGAAGGGTGCGGATGGAAACAGGCCCCAGGGACCAAAATGAGTCCACCTAGACCCATTGGCCATGTTTTTTGGAAGGGGGCTGTTAGCCTGATCTATTGTCTCTTCGACAGCCTGCATGCTGAGGAGGCTCAATGCAGGCAAGAATGTTTTCACAGACCAGAGCTGCGCACCTCCCAGAGAGGCAGGCTAAGCCCTACTCACGTGGTTGAGGGCAGGGTCAGAGGTGGCCCCGCTGACATTGAGGCTGCTCCACAGGTGGCCACTGGCCCTCTCACAATGGCAGAAGTAACTTTGTTGTCCATATGCTTTCCCAGAGAGTGAGGCATGCATGGCTCTGCAGGTGTGGAAGATGGCTTTCACCAAGGGGCTCCTGTGGCAGTGACAGGGAGGTGAAAGGAAGTCAGTCAGTTTGTTTCCTGGGTGACTAGAAGAGAGACCCAAGCCAGGGACTGCCACCCACCCAACCTGCAGTGACACATGGATCTGTCAACTGCAGCATGGCCATAGTCCCAGATTGCCTGCAAGGTATCTGAAGTGCCAGCCCCGGGTCAGGGCTGGCTTCATACTGTACAGCATGTCCTTGCTCATTCAAAGCTAGGAGGGATCACGGACTCAGGCTTGACCACCAGGACTGCCACTAAGAAGCCACCTAAGATGGTCGTTCAACCCATGCTTCAGTTGCCTTATCTATAAAGTGGCTTTTTTTTTTAAAGTTTGCTATAGGGCATGTGTGCTCACCAGAGAGAGACAGACAGTAAGGAATCACCCCCAGGGAGTATGGTTATGCCACAATTCCTTTTTCATTCTCCTCTCAGGACTTTAGGCATGCACGCACACGTGGCTGGTTTGTTTTTCAAGCCACTGGGTCTGGGATTTGAACCATGTAGTTGGCCTTAATCATCACACCACTGGCTGGCTCTAAAAGTGGCTTTTTAAAAATACCATTCACTGGGACTAGGAGGTGACCTGGTGGTTAAGGTGCTGGACTCCCACATGGCTGACCATAGTTTGAGCCCTGGACCTGGCAGCCTGAAAATCACACTAGGGGGACCAGCAGTTAGCATAATGGCTATGTCGCTGGACTCCCACGTAGTCGACCGCGGTTTGCGTCCCAGACCCGGTGGCTTAAACTTACACCGGGTGCGTGTGCGTGCATGCCCAAGATCCCGAGAGGAGAAAGGAGGAGAAGGGACTGCAGTGTGGCCATCCCCCCTGGGGGGTGATTTCTCGCTTCCTGTCTCTCTGTTTCTATCTGTCTTCCTGGTGAGCGCATGCACCCTGTACCAAAAACCTCTGAAAAAAAAAAAAAATCACACTAGGGGTGTCAGCGTGCATGCCCAATCGCCCAAGAGGTAATTTCTTACTATTCCTCTCTATCTCTGGTGAGCACATGAACCCTATGGAAAAAACCTGGGGGGGAAAAAAGAACAAACATTCACTACCTGTGCTGACATAAGGTACTGGCCCATTTGTGTCCCTGCTCGCTAAGGGATCGTTCCCCAGGAGAAACTTGGTTCCTTTTTATACAGGTAGAGAGGATGGGGAGACTGCCATTTGGGGAATCGTCCCTGAAGAGCAAAGGGACCCAGGAGTAGCTAACCAGACTACACACCTGCTGAGCATGCAGTCTTAGGCTAACTGGCTGGGAGACATACCCACAACACAGGCAAAGTGCCCGTATGGGCTGCTGCAGGCTAGGTGCTTACTAGTCAAAAGGCTTAAAATGGGGCTACTTAAATGAAATTGGGGAGTTAGATCTACTTTAGAGAACACAGGGCTTCAAACCTGCCAACACCCACTGTTCTCAGTTCCTTCCCATGCTCCTGGGTAACTCGACTTAACAGGAAAGGCTATAACCTTGGCTCCACAGACACAACCTCATGGGGCCTTTCTGTCTTGAAGCATTTTACAATTTCTTTCAGGAACACCAGATCCAATCACAAACAGCCAGGTGTGGACAGAGCTGCCCATCACTAAGGACTAGAAACCCCAGGAAACAGATACCAGTCTCCAAAAAGGAATGTCAAAGCTCTCTGGTTATGCGTGGTGCTAAAGCCCTTTTGTTACAGGAGAGGATGACAGGGCTGACGGGGGCCCAGGGGTGGGGGGCGCAGTGGGGGTGGGGGCTGGAATGGCTGAAAGGAACCTACCAAATGCTGGCACACTGGTGCAGATTCCTCTGGCCATATAAGCTCCAAGGGAAACACTGGCTTCCCTGCGCTGGCCCTGAGCCATCATCACACTGCCTGTCACCACAAAGCTTTTGAAGATGCTGGAGGCCACGCTGCTCTGTCTCTCCTCTTTAGCCTGTGCCACCATGGAGGCTGCAGGGAGAAGGCCCTGCAGGCAGCGCTGACAGTCGCTGGTTTAGCTGAGGGGCTGTACAGCGCACCATATGCACAGAGAGGGTTGTGTGGGCCAGCTCGTTCCCCCATGGTGCCCCTGTATCCCCTTCTCTAGCTCCTCATCCGCCAGTCCCCAGGCTGCCTGGCCACCCCAACACAGCCATCCAGACCTGGTCCCTCTCACTAACCCAGACAAGATTCCCCAGAAGAAGTAGGTAAGTGGCCAGGTAGGCTTACGTACTCGGTAACCTCAAGGGCCTTAGGGACACGCTCGACTTCAGTGAAGTGAGAGCGCACAGCCAGGTCGTCTCCTTGAAGCCAGCTGATGGCCATAGTGATTGCAGATGTCCACCACCGACAGATGACATCTGGACCTAGATCGGGACAGTACCAGACATATTCTAGCACCACAGGAACAGGAGTCATTTGTGGGACTCAATGGTTAGCTACACCTCGTTCCTACAGTGTATGTGGCATCTTCGTCTTCTGGCCTCAAGATTGCCCTCTCACGTGATTCTGGTTGGGGAATAAACTAGTGCTCTCACGGAGTACCAATCACTAGCAGGGAGGGTCATGTAAGGTAGGAGCATGCGCTTTTCCAACTGCTAAAATAAAAAGTGGCCACCAGGCCAGGAGTCATTATGAGATGGCTGCTTTTTTGGGATCCTTCTCCTCCTAAGGAAGTGACCAGAAGGTAGCTTGGAATCCCCATTTCTCTCAGTAGCCTCCTCAGAAACCAAAGAGGTGGCAGCTGATATGTTATCACTCTGATGTCAATTTAGAGACAGACGCAAAGACTGTTATGGGGTCAATTCAGTCAGCAGATTGTCCTATGACACCTGAGGCAGTGAGGAGCCAGAGAGGAATGCCCAGGTGGAAACACTCCTTAGTAGAGTGGAAGACTCCAGAAAAGCCATCTGGAAAGTGAGTCTCCACCAATTCCTGGGCACTGGACCACTTGCTGCCTGTTCTTGGCGTCTGGGAAGGAGCCCGCCCTCCCCATGCAGCCAGTCTTAGGAAGACACACTCTCTGTCCCGCTTCCATGAGAACTATTATTTCTTGTCCCCAAAATGCTGCCCAGTAGATGGTAACTATGGGTTGGGGCTCCATAAAACCTGTACATCCAGAGAAGTGCCTGAGTAGACTCATAACCAGTCCTGGACCCAGGGACAAAGAGCTTTAAAGGAGGGAATTAGGCAACCCCCGAGGCGTGAACGACTCATAGCTGCTTACCAAGGGCTGACTTGAGCACAGGGCTACTGGAGATGGGTGGGGTCATAATCCCCACTGAGTCCACGAAAGAATGAAGTAATTTCAGGTACTCCAAAGCACTGGAGAATTCACTAGAAAGAAAAGAAAGCATCCTGTGTATATAAAAATGTCCGCCAGGACTATACCCACGGGCTGGCAGTTCTGCTCCCCAGCTCAAAGACCCACCAGCTGCTTCTGGCTCTTCTCCTGTCATCCCCACACACCTGAGCTCTGCACCCACACACCATTCACAGCTCCCCAGGCCTCTCTTCTCTGCATGTCTCTGTGCTATCAGCCTTGCTCTCTCATCCCTCCCAGGCAACTCTGACTTCTCTCCACTCAAGGCCCAATTCCAATGTCATCTACTCCAGAAGTTTTCCTAACTCCTAACAGAGCTGTCCCACCTTCCTCCCCACTCACAGTCCTCCAGGCCATACTTGGGCCTTGTAAGAGGCTTTGGCACCTCAGGTCTTATTTAGGTTTTGCTGAGAAGGAAAGGTTTTGCATAATAAGTATTTAAGAGCTAAAAGTTGCCTGACCATGCTCAAAGAGGGGCTGGGTTCCCAAGAGGTCCGGGTCAGAGGTGTCCGCCTTCCTCTGAGCTTTCCACATTCTATTCCTTTCCCCTCTCAATGGGCCACCCTGATCCCCACCCTAAAAAGCAAAGCCAACCAATCAACTTTCTGACTTGCTCCAAGTACTGATATGGTTTGGTGAAGGCATGGGGAAAAAGCTCTTGTTTTTGAGAAATAAACACACAAGAATGATTTGATTTCTTGGGCTTGTTTCAGTCTAAAAGTGCAGGCCTTAAGGCTGCCTTTGAACTGCCTGGGCTCAAGGTCTGGGGACTTACCAGCTCTCTTCCTCCTGGTCACTAGCCTTCTTCTTGACCTGAGGTTTCACCAAAGATTCCACAGCTCGCTCCAGCAGGTTCTTGCAGAAGGCTTGGTGAACCTGGGCAATGGGGTCAGCTGAGAAAGAGAAAGGCAAAGCAAAGAGTGAGATGGGTCTCAGGAAATAGCCATGCCCTGTTGATGGGGATCCAATCTCTCCTCTCAACCAAATCTCGGAACTACCCAGCTGAGCGAGCAGTCAGAAAGGGGGCTTAGATGGTCACTCCTGCACTGAAGATCCCAACGCTTTGCAGTCTGGGATTAGCTTTGCTGGGGTGTGCATGTGCACGTGTGTGTGTACATGTGCACGCTGTGTCTCTGAAGTGCTGGTGGCACGGTGCTCGGTACTTCAAGGTTGGGAGTTGTAAGGTGGTGGCTACAAGACTTGCCAGAAAACAGAAAACGGGGCTAGACGGTGGCACAGCAGTGATGCAGCTAGACCCGACCCACATGGGAAGATCTGGGGTGTCCCTCTGGCATATGTATGCCCACGTGAACCGTGATCTGGGCTGGACCACAGTAAGGAGACCCTGTTCGAGCTGTTTGTCTCTGTCTCTCTCTTTTATAGAATAAATAAGTAAACAAACTTGAAAAACAAAAACAGAAAATGAAAAGTGGGAAGGTAGACAGCTACTCCAAGTCTCTGAGGCTGTCTCTTACCCTGTGGCTTAGTAGAACAGCCAGAAAAAAAGGCAGTGGGTTCAGGCCAATACAGAACCTGTTCCTCTGTCTGTCCAGAACCTTATCATGCAGCCTGTGATCAGAAAGGAGCTGCTAGCTGAGCTGATTAGGTAAGAGGCCTTATAATGTTTATGACAGCTGGCTGTCACTGACAAGTCCCCTTACTGGCAGGCCCAAATAACAGCATCACAACCCCTCACACGCAGCAGGGATGTGGGCCTTGATATGATGAGGAAGAGGAGGGTCACTTAGGAACACATTCTGGGTAACTAGGCCTAGAGCCAGAGACTGCAAGACATGAAGCCAGTGGGAAGCCTATGTTGTAGACAAAGTAGTCAGTGGGGATGGAATTGATTGTCTTTTGCTTTCATCCTTCATTTTGGGGTGTTGCAAGTGATTTTAGTAACAAGCAAAAAAGTTACTAAAAGAAAAAAGGATAGCAGCCTACTCCCCTCAAATGCTTGACACATACTTCCCTCCTCCTGTACCTGTGGAGTGCACCTCACTCTCCCGAGACTCCTGATTCAGAGAGGGGAAACACAGCGGAAAGCCTCTGAGAGCTCGAGGTCTGAGTCAACCCCGACCAGCCTCTCCTGCTCCAAGGCTGGTTGCGTCGACTCTAATCACTATCAAACTCAGGGACAGAAAGCCAGCATTTCCTTCTGCTGCCTGGAGCCCTGTCCCTGTCACCACTCTAAGCACTTGATGACCGCCTGCTGCCCATTGTTCCTAACTGCTCCATATATGTCTGTCTGCTTTCCTGTTGGGACCAGAAGACCCAGGGGCTAGGGAATAGTAAACCCACACATCCTGTGCCCCCAGAGCCCCCAGTACAAGGGCTAAGGATGCAGTTGGTGCTTAATCACAATTTGTTAATGTGTGGCGGGTGTGATGTGAGAACCACAGGCCTTGAAAGTCAGAGAGGGCAATGGTATGACTGCCACTGGGCCACTGACAGGCTGGCTAGGCTGTGACCTGAGGCAAGTAACTTAACCTCTTTGAGCCGCAATAAGAAAAGAATTAAAGGAGATGGAGATAACCAGCGCCTCCTCTAGAGTGCCTGGTGCCACCACCCCGCAGTACTGGTGGCTCCTGTGGCTCTCTCTGGTCCTGATGGATGCAGGTGTTCTCACCTGGGCTCCTCTGGGCGCAGTACAGACTCTCCTTGGCGGCTGACTTCACTGACCAGCTCCGTTCCATGAAAAACTTCTGGCCCAGGGGGTGGCAGAGCCAGCGTAGAGAGTCAGGGACAGAACTGTGATCAGGGCCACACAGGTTCTGGGCTCGACTGAGGAAGTAGCTCTGTGGAAGGACAAGGACAGGGTTGACACTGAGGTGGCGGAATGTTGGCTGCAGTGACGTGGAGCCATCAGAAAGCACCATGGTGGGGAGGTAGGGCGTTTGTGGGACGTGGATACGGTTTATTATTTGTTGATGAGGACGTGCGTATGTTCTCATCTGGGCTGGACTGAGGTGTGTGTCACACTGCGTAAAATCTCTTTACAATCTAAATGATGTATAGCAATTAAATGTAGAAATAATAATTAAAATTAATACATAAAAAAATTATATATATATATAAAAAGAAAGCACCATTGTGGAGGCTTGGCTCGGGACGGATGAAGGATCAGCAGTGGGCTGGGCCACAGGCGCCCCGGGTCATAGCCCCACCACTGAAACCAGGGCGAGTGGCTCCAGTGGAGGCTGCCAGGCTTGTTAGTCAGCTGGGAGCCCAGGAGGGGGCCGGGGGCGGTCACAAGGCACACGTGGGGCCTCTTAGTCTGCCTAGCACACCTGGGATCCTGCTCTCGGGCTGCTGGTGTGCAACCTGTAAGTGGTGTGTGAGCATGCGCTCATGTGTCTGGGTGAAGGAGGGTCTCAGTGGCCCTCAAGTGCACTTCACTTTCAGCCCCATGGTGTGCCCAAGCCAGGAAGCTCCTTGACCCTGGGACTTTTCCTCATCTGTCATTTCAGTTACTTATCTTTGAGAGTATTTTTAGGCAAAATTGTATCCTTTGACTAATTTCCCATCTCTTACCTTTGGATGTTATGAGTTTAGAGCAGTACCCAGCACATGGCCAGGTACACATGGAAGAGCAGTGGAGTAAGAGGAAACAGGGCAGCTCACCCCAACCCACAGAAGCATGTCTGTGTTTGTGTGTATGTGTGAGATGCCCTAGAAGAGTGTTTCCCACAGAAACCCCTATGCCACCCCACTATGAGCTCCTGACAGGAACCCCACCCTGTGAAGAGGAGGGGCGTCAAGAGGAGACTTTGGGGGGAACCAGCAGTTAGCGTAATGGCTATGTCGCTGGACTCCCACGTAGTCGACCGCGGTTCGTGTCCTGGACCCAGTGGCTTAAAACTCATGCCGGGCGCGTGTGCGTGCGTGCCCAAGATCCCGAGAGGAGAATGGAGGAGAAGGGATTGCGGCGTGACCATCCCCCCTGGGGGGGGAGTTCTCGCTTTCTGTCTCTATGTCTCTCTCTGTCTGGCAAGCGCATGCGCCCTGAAATCTCTCCAAAAAAAAAAAAAAAAAGGGGAGACTTTGGGGACCAGCAGATGGTGTAATGGTTATATCACTGGACTCCCACATAGTTAACTGCAATTTGAGTCCTGGACCCAGTGGCTTGAACCTCATGCAGAGAACATGTGCATGCACGCCCTAGATCCTGAGAACAGAGGAAAAGGGATTTGTGGAGTGGCCATTCTCCCGGGGGGTGATTTCTTGCTTTCTCTCTGTCTTTCTAGTGAGCGCATGTGCCTTACAGCAAAAATCTCTCTCAAAAAAGAGGGAGACATTGAAAGTCTCTTTCCAGGGCAATTTGAAGAGCTGGTGTCTCAGTCTCTGGCCCCTCCTCACCTGGCAGGACAACATAATTTCAGGGCCCTGGTGACATGAATGGAAGGAAAATGGTGTTACCACATGTTTACGTGTTTTCAGACGTCCTGCCTTTTTATTTTTTAAACTGTTTTTGCCATAGGGCACCTGTGCTTGCCAGAGAAAGAGAATGCGTGTGTGTGTGTGTGTGTGTGTGTGTGTGTGTGTGTGTGAGAGAGAGAGAGAGAGAAAGTGAGAATTCACCCCTCGGAGGGGATGGCCACACTTCAATCCCTTCTCCTCTATTTTCCTCTTGGGATATTTCTGGGTATGCATGGATAACACACACCTGGTATAATTTTCAGGCTGCCAGGTCCAGGATTCAAACTCAAATCAGCCATGTGGGTATCCAGTATATTAACCACCATGCCACCTACTGGCCCTGGAGCTGTCATTTTTATAAAAGAATTATTGATTTAATTTTATTAGTAATTATTATTTAGTTTTTTTTATACAGGGTGTGTGCACTCACTGGACAGAGAGAGACAGAGAGACAGAAGTAAGAAATCATTCCCCATGGGGGATGGTCATGCCACATTCCTTTTGGGATTCTGGGCACGCACGTAGGCACGCACACATACCAGCACAAGTTTCAAGTCACCATTTCTGGGACTCAAATCACAGTTGGCCATGTGGGAGTCCAGCAATATAACCATTACGCCATCTGTTGGTCCCTTTTTGTTTGTTCGTTTGGAGAGGTTTTTGCTATGGGGCATGTGTACTTGCCAGAAAGACAGAGAGAGACAGAGAGACAGAAAGCAAGAAATCCCCCCCCCGGGGGGATGGCCACGCCACAATCCCTTCTGCATTCTCCTTTTGGTATCTTGGGCATGCATGCACACGTGCCCAATGTGAATTTAAGTCACTGGGTTTGGGACTTGAACTGCGGTCGACTATATGGAAGTCCAACGATGTAGCCACTACACCATCTGCTTGTCCCACTAATACTATTTTTAAATTTACTATATGGCACATGTGCTTACCAGAGAGAGACAAAAAAGAGAGAGTAAAAGCAAGAAAGCAAGGTGATAGGTCTGGGACTTGAACTATAGTCTGTCAATGTAGAAGTCCAGCACCATAACCACCATACCACCTGTTGACCCTATTATTAATTTGTTTAAAAAAAGAATTATTTATTTAATTCCACTTGTCATTATCATCATCATCATTATTTTTTAACTTGACCAGACAGAGAAAGAGAGAAAGAGAGAAAGAAAGGGAGAGTGAGAAAGTAAGTCATCAGGTTCTGGACTCAAACTGCAGTCAGCCACGTGGGAATCCAACACCTTTAACCACCACGCACCTGTTGGTTCTATTATTTATTTTTTTAAAGAAATTTTTGCTATAGCGCATAGGCACTTGCCAGAGAGAGACAGAAAGTGAGAAATCACCCCCGGGGGTGGGGGTGGGAGATGGTCACACTGTAATCCCTTCTCCATTCTCCTCTTGGGATTTTGGGCACACACGCACACACACCTAGTGTGTTTTAAACTGCTAGGGTCCAGAATTTGAGAAGTGGTCAACTATGTAGGAATCTAGGAACATAAGCATTACGCCAACTGCTGGTCCCTTATTATTATTTTATACTTTGCTCTAGGGCACATAAGCTCACCAGAAGGACTATGGGAGTGAGAAAGCAAGCCACCAGGTCTGGAACTTGAACAGTGGCTGGCCATGTAAGAGTCTAGCACTTTAACTACCATGCCACCTGCTAGCCTGGTTCTGCCATTTATTGTTTTTAAATTTTAATTTATTTACTCATTTATTTAATTTGACCAGAGAGAGACACAGAGAGAGAGAGAGACAGATAGAAAGTGAGAAAGCAAGCTACCAGGTCAGAGACTTGAACCATTGTTGGCTGTGTGGAAGTGTCTGGCACCCTAATCACCATGCCATCTTCTGATCCCGGTTGTCATTTTTGAAGAGACAGGCTGCTTCACTATGTTGCCCACCCTGATCTCATACCCATGATCCTCCTGCTTCAGGTTCCCAAGGAGTTGAAGCTACAGGCATATACCACTATGCCCAGAACAGTTCTTTTTCAAGTGAGGGTCTCTTTACTCTAAAATTCCTGATTTTCAACGTATAAAACTACTTGATACAGGCCAATATAAATTAGGAGCTGAGCAGAGGAAAAAGCTTAAGCCGTAAGAGCTCAGGGACTCCAGAGGGGCTGCTGGGATGAGGCCCATGGACTGCAACCTTCACACTTCAGTCCTGGACTCCATGATGGGAGGAGTCGCCTCAAGGTTGGTTTAGTCTGATGGTTCTGACCTTTACTGGGTTCTAAGTAGCCATTAGCTAACATAACAGCTTCAGAGACTTGAATGCCAGGGTTAGAAATAGCACTGCCAAAGCACCATTCAAGGACACATACGGAGAAGAATGCCTCTCTCCCAGGGAGCCCGGGGACAGCTGCCTGAATCCACAAGACCCAAATCAGCCCACAGGCACATGTGAACATGCTCATGGGACCTATGGGACAAGGGGGGCATTTCACTCATGTTTCTAATCACCATCAGGACTAGTGGCACTAACAGTCTTTCCTCATCTTTGTTCGCCAGCTCTGATGACAGGATACTGGACACTGGAGAGTAAATGTGGAGGAACCCCAAGACTTCCTGCTTGGAGGAACCCCAAGCCTCCCTGCTGACCTTGAGGCATGCACTGAGTCCAAGCAGTAGACTGCAATAGTGCGGACCAGCTGATAAGGGGCTGAGCAGTGAGGGAGGCTGGCAGGGGGAGGAGATCTGCATGCTCAGGGCCTCTAAAATCCTAGAACCTTCCAAAGTGGCCCCCAGCTCTTCTAACAACAGCGTTTTCTAGATGCCTGATCTAAAATGGACCTTAGTGGTTGCTCTAGGAAAACCGAGGGCTAAGCTTCTTAGAAAGCCTAAATTTCACAAACAGTAGCAGAAACAAAGCCTGGTCAGGTCACGTGGCAAGAACTCAGAGAGGCCATTTAGGAGATACTGAAATTAAAATGCATTTTTTTTTTCACTATAGGGCGCGTGCACTCGCCAGACAGAGAGAGACAGAGAGACAGAAAGCGAGAAATCACCCCCCCAGGTGGGATGGTCACGCCACAATCCCTTCTCCTCCATTCTCCTCTCGGGATCTTGGGCACACACGCACACGTACCCGGCGTGAGTTTTAAGCCACCAGGTCCGGGACGCGAACCGTGGTTGACTACGTGGGAGTCCAGCGACATAGCCATTACGCTAACTGCTGGTTCCCTTAAAATGCATTTTTCAGCTTAACTCCTAAAAAAGAAAAAAATCTTTAGGTTTAACAAATCTCAGTGGGAAAAAGCTTGAGTTTAATGGTTTGAATTTAAAGAGAAATATATATCATGAAACATAGTCATCCATGGCATGTCCTGTACATGGGAAACAGAAAATAACTTTTGTTGCTCATGTAA